GAGATTGTGAACCTTTCCGGGGACAGGTAACATATGCGAATAACAAAAAGTGGAAAAAAGGCGATGTGGAGAAAAAAAACTAAAACAATATGAATAATTTAAGAAATAAAATTGACAGTTGAATACGAAATGCCTACCATTTCCTTTTCACCGTTCGCCTTCTTATAAGTACTCCAATGAATCCCGTCCAAAGAATATGCCAACTTGTAAGTTTTGACAAACAAAGAGAACCTCTTGCCCTGAGTGGCTACTCCTCTCAACCAGGTGAGCTTGTCGAGATCCACCTGAATCCATGGATTTGGTTCACTTGGGAGTGCGTACCAGCTTTCCTCGGCTCCACTTTTGAGTCGGGCGAGCCAAGGTGGATATCTCGAGTACTAAGAACTGGCCGTGATGGATTGTTTACTTATGTGACCGTTCTCCATTCCCAGAGGTATGGAAATGTTGCATTGTTTAGCTATGAACCAAAGGATCCATGTCAATATCTGAGCAACTTCGCACCAACCCTTCCCCCAAACCAAACAAAAGTCGACTCATAACAAGTTTGGGTTAATGCTGGGTTAGGGGAGGGGCAGGTGCGCAGTTTTTCATAAAATGACATCTATCCCAATAAATAAACGGACACTTTCAGAAATACAGCATATTCACTCGAAACTTTTATTGTTTTAGTGAGTCACTCATAATCCATATTATTTGGTGATAATTCTTCCCACAGAATAAATACTTTTGAATGTTTGTTTGATTTTGTTTTGTTTTCAAAAGTATTTATATGCTAATCATTCAGGGTCAAGTTCTTCAAAACACAAGTAGTACTTATTCATATTAATGACACTGAAAACGTAACTTTTTGTAAACACCTTACCTAGGGTCGGTGCTCATCGAGGTTCGAGCTAGCTGATGTCCCTTGACTTTAAACAGAGGCAGGTTTTTTATCTCGTTTGAATGAGTAAGTCATGAATAAATCTCTTCGTTCTAAAATTGTCATTTTCGGTCTCAAAAATCTCAATTGAAGTCTCCCATTAGAACAAGTAATCAAACGTTTACGGTTGGGACGCGGCAATTATCGGTATTAGTCAAAACTAGATTTCTCTCCTTTCAGTAGTTGAGGGGATGCAACTTGGTCTCCAATTTTCCATATTTTGATATGATGCTTACTGCTTTTTCCTCAATTTTCTCAGATATGGATTCTTCTTCTTTTGTATCCAGCGTATACAAAAGAAAAAAAAACCGACCAAATGAGGGCAACCTTAACCAATTGATCCTAATAGGACACGAACTTAAAATTACGTTAAGAAGACGCTTAATAAAGGATGAGTTAAGGTCAGCTCGAGAATGTTTTAGTCCAGAATGACCCAAACTGGAATAATAAAAAAATTAGTATTCATTTTACCGTTGCATTTATAGAGTGAAGGTTCAGGCTCGTATCCAACTTTACACTTGCAACTGTAACTTCCAAAGTTGTTTTTGCAACTGGTAGTCTTTTCCTCGCACTTGTGATTTCCTGCTATACACTCATTTATATCTGTGGATTAAACTCACCAGCATAAATAAACCTCTCTTGTAGGAGACAAAAAAAGAGATCGTTGGGAAATTTTCATTACATAGGATAATTTATCAAAATCCAGATATCCAGACTCAGTTGATAAAGTTTCTTGGGCAGTTTCTAAGTTAGACATCATTTTTTATTACGGAAATAACTGATCGGGATTTTTTCCGTTATAGTGCAAAGTACGGGGCTCTTTTTTTTCTCAGTTTCTTTCTAATAGTAAAAACAATTACCCTGACACTCATAAGATGACTGGCCGGGCTGATATCCTCTATTGCAGGGGTATGTGTAGCCTCCAAGATTGTTTTTACATGTGGTAGTTTGACTGTGACATTTTTGTTCTCCTGTACTACACTCATCAACATCTAAATAAAGTTAATGTGCCAAGTTCTTCAAAACACAAGTGGTACTCGTCCATATTAATGGCACTGAAAACGTAACTTTTTGTAAACACCTTACCTAGGGTCGGTGCTCATCGAGGTTCGAGCAAGCTGATGTCTCTTGTCTTTAAACAGAGGCAGGTTTTTTTTTCTCATTTGAATGAGTAAGTCGTGAATAAATCTCTGTTCTAAAATTGTCATTTTCGGTCTCAAAAATCTCAATTGAAGTCTCCCATTAGAACAAGTAATCAAACGTTTACGGTTAGGACTCGGCAATTATCGGGATTAGTCAAAACCAGATTTCTTTCCTTTCAATAGTTGAGGGGAGAAAACTTGGTCTCCAATTTTCCATATTTTGATATGATGCATACTGCTTTTTCCTCAATTTTCTCAGATATAGATTCTTCTTCTTCTTTTGTATCCAGATTATACAAAAGAAAGAAAAACCGACCAAATGTGGGCAACCTTAACCAATCGATCCTAATAGGACACGAACTTAAAATTACGTTAAGAAGACGCTTGATAAAGGACGAGTTAAAGTCAGCTCGAGAATGTTTTAGTCCAGAATGACCCAAACTGGAATAATAAAGAAAATAAATGTTCATTTTACCGTTGCATTTATAGGGTGAAAGTCCAAGTTCGAATCCATCTTTACACTCGCAACTGTAACTTCCAAAGTTGTTTTTGCAATTGGTAGTCTTTCCCTCGCACTTGTGATTTCCTGCCATGCACTCATTCATATCTGTGGATTAAACTCATCAGCATAAATAAACCTTTCTCGTGGGAAACAAAAAAAAGAGATTGTTAGAAAATTTTCATTACGTAGGATAAGTTGTCAAAATTCAGATAT